CGTTCCGGGATATCCGAGTGAACACGTTGAGCGAGGAACGAAACGCGGACCACGTTGGACCTCAGGAAGGGAAGTTGCTTGCTGGAGACAGCGGAAGAAAAATAGCGGAAGTCATCGACCTCCAAGGGGCTATATATCACGGGGATGCAGAGGGTGGTGTGTGTGTACGAGGAAAAGTGGAAAGAGCAAAGGGGATGTGAGAGGTAGGTAGAGTAGTAGGATAGCTATAGTGGCCCCGCGTATATGGTTAGTATAAGGGTGGCATAGGAACATTGGTGGCGAAAGGAAGCGTCTGAAGGGACAGGAGAAGGTGTAGGTTGAGGGTTCAACCGGACGCCCGTGAATCTAGGATAGTAGTCCTCGCGTTTCATCATCCCCATGGTCGAGGTTCTTTCCACTCTCGCTCGGTCCAGCTTGGGTTTATCTTAAATGAGACTCCCCGAGGGCTTAAGTCGGCTTGGCAAGGTTACCAAGGCCTTCGCGGGGGATATATCTCTGATTGATTAAATTCTTGCAATTACATCGCGCCATACATCACCAACCGCCGACAACGTCGCCATGCGGGAGAATCGTCGATTCTGGTAAAACGCATTGTCCTCGTCTGCACCCCCAGCGGGAATAATCTTTCTTCGTATTTTCTCAGGGAAACACGCGCGTTAATTTTCTCGGATTATCCTGTCGCCTGGGGTAACCATACCAGCATATACAAACTTGTGATATACCACAAAATTTATCTGATACTTCGTATGTATATTATGCGCCTGATGAGTATTCTCATTGGAAAGTGGTCCATATACTCTGGTTTGGCAAGAGTTCCTATTACCGGGTGCTGACTTAAGCGCGATCTTTAAAATCGAACCCTAACGACTTTCAATAGTTATATTCGTTCTCTCGGGAAACGTCAGCACTTTTTTTGTAAGAAATTACCTCATCGCTCAAACCCATGGAATTCAGTAGGTTTCATGGCGCGCATGATCCTATGTGGAATGACTTATTTTTCGTTAAATCTTTCTGGGGTATCTTATAAGCACGTAAACCGCTCTTCCCGAGCTACCGTTATATACGTGATCGGCTAGTGTGAGTGAACAAATGAGCAAATGAAGGAATAGGAGAGAATCGTTGAAATACAAGAGTAGAATAGAAAGTCAGGGCTCTAGACGCGCCGTCGTAAAAATACATTCCCAACCGAGGAGGGCGGATATTTTTTTGCAGACTTCCGTAGCACGAGGCGAGAGAGCATTCCCCAATCCGACCGTCTCGCTAAATTGCCTCCATCTAGAAGCACTCCTCTCTCTTTCTCTCTTTTCGTTCCCTCTCTCTCTCTCTTTTCTCTATATTTCTCTCGGAGCTATTCCTCCTCGTACGCGTATGTGGGCCAACGATTCATTGGCTAATAGCAACTTTAACGATAGTTGGCTGTAATCAAGGAAGTAGGATACCACGATGCCGATACGGAGTTACGGACCGAACCGACTAAGGGCAAATAGTGTAGCAGTTAGGCGATTTGAGGTAAACAATGAGAAGATTAGAGAGAAGAGAAAATGAGAAGAGGGACAGGGGGATGCAGGCGGGCAGATGAGTTATTAGATCCGGAGCTTCCGGTATTGCGTCGCGGATGACCAATAGTTTCATCGAGGGATTGTTGAAGGTTCCGGAGCACATTTCCGGTTTCCGCTTCACGAGTCCTCTCCCCTATAGTATTTCGGCAAACTCTCAGAATCCGCCCGAGATCCTCCCTGGGATGAGACCGAGGATGAGATGCTGAAGGAAAACGGAAGATTCGCTTCCGTACGATCCACGCGGCTTTCGCTGCGGTATTCTGCTTCGTCCTATGGGGATGATTCCATCCCTTACGGATATTACAACCCTCGTAGGCTTTTCCTTAACGTACGAGCCATACGAGTGGCACGTTCCGGTAGCTATTGGTCCTACGGTTTCTTAGGGGAGCCGGTTACTAAGCACGTATCTGATTAGCGAATGTTCTTTGGGACAGTTTGCCACTTGCCTTACTCAAGGACCATAGCGTCCTTGTTCGTCTTCTTATCGGCAGTTTAACGGCTCCCTACTAATTAAACCATCAATTTCGCATCACCAGAAGAGAAACTTTAAACTTCCTTTAAATCTTCGGAAGTTCGTTACTGCTGCCTCGCGGGAACTCCGGAAACTGATGGTTGTTACTTAGACTGCTCATATCTATCACGGACTCGATGGCAACGCCAGTGGCATGGCGGCCGTCTCCCTCTCGCGGTTTTAGCGCAACCTCCCTTGGAAACTCTCTCGCTAGCGTAGAAGCAACTGTGCGTTCAACTCCGTGGAAACTCCGCGAGAACACTCGGTGTCGCCGCCAACTAAGTTCGAAACCACCCTCCAGGATTCCTTGCCTAGCTGGCTCCGATGGCAACCACCTACCCGTACCTACCAGCTGAATCTAGCTACCTACATACATACACCTACATATACATATATATATATGTATATATACCGAGCCATCCAGCCAACCAAACCAGCCAGGCCGCAACCATAAGTTACTACTAATGTTGTTCTCGTGTTCCGCAGACTGAGTCGGCCAGAGGGATTTCGCCTCGTTCGCAAAAATCTAATTAGGCCCTTTTATGGAATTATATTCCAGACCCTTCCCTCTTACCAAAGTTCCTTCTTACCTCTCTTGGATGAACTCGCTTCTTTAGGGTTCAGGAAGTTGGGATCTACGGGTATTTCTTCTGCAGGCCTTTTTTTTTTAAGAAAATTGCAGCATTCGCTCATTGTGCCAAGATCTACCTGCTATATTATTCTGCTAGGAATAATGCCGTTTTACGTATCAATGGATCAAACTTACTAATCAACTGTTTCAAGTTGAATACCCAATAGACTTTTATGTCACGTGGATATCCATACACGATAAAAGCAAGTATCACATTTAGCAGGTTAGGTAAATGTTCCTTGGATCGTTAGCGTAACGCGAGGAGCGTAAATACGAACGGACTACCGGAACGCAGGGGCTCTTCTTCGCACCAGCTGGTAAACACATAACCGTAACTCGACGGCGTGCAATGAATCTCCTTTTAGAAGTTTCGGGGTTGTTCGTCGGGGAGTAAGAGGCATGAAAGCCCTGCGCCCTTTCGGATCCCATCCCGGAATACTTTCTCGCAGCTTAGCGGACGGCAATTAACGGCTGCCTCATTTCCCCTCTAAATAAATTAGGAAGGTATAGCGCCCTCACAAAAGGGTCCAACGCTGAACAGGATTTACGTTTCGAACATACGCTTACAGGGCTTTATTGCATTACGTTGTGTTTTTCCTATCGTTCAGGTCGCCACGATCACTGCCTCCTGGTTATCCTCTAGAATTGACCCTACTTTACCTCTCCTTAGGCAGATCACTCGTGTTATCCACCTTGACTCAATTCCCATTGCAATGAAGGAAACCCAATATGGAAGTCAGGATAAAGGTATACTACGTTTCAGTATAGGCCTGGAATCTTCAAGTCGATCTACTTGTATCCCGCTAGCCATGCATTTATCTTTCGATAATGGAAACGCGAATGGAATTGCACGAAAGGTTGTTTCACGGATCGTACACTGGGGAAAGTTTGATCGTAGCTGGGTCTTTGGCAAATTCTCCCACACGAAGCCTTGCTCCATGAGACTCTTCTCTGTAGCGTACTAGGCAAGGATTCCTTAATTTCCCATATTGTGGACTAGCGGCCATCTAAGGCTCCCTGCTGCGTTATAGCGCGGTTTAATCACACTACAAGTGCATCCCTCGTTAGTGGAATATCGCCCGAGTGGCTATAATATGAGACTACATTCCAGGGTGAGTCTCGAGACAGCGGGACGTGATACCACTACTAGCCTACCGTTACTGCTGCACTGGGATCTATAATCTTTCGTGTTGTTAGCCAGCTCGGAAAGTGCGCGTGAAAAACACTGTTAAAGGAGACCATTTGCAATAATTGTGATTTACGGTTCGGCGGCATCTTCGTTGTTGTTCCGACGGTTGTTCGGTATGTCCTGATGCGTCGTACTCTGCCGTGAGCCTTACGCTACCCCGTAGTAGGACGTTATTTGTATTTTTAATTATAATTTTTTTACTTCACACTTTCATATTATAAAAATATGGTCGTGCATGGTCTACGATAAAATTTGCGAGTTGATCATGGATGTGAACGATCTCAAAATTGAGGCAATTATGCAGATATCTACCTTGTACGATTTATAACCATCGACAGCGATAGCGACGGGGCGCCATTGAGACTGTATCGCGATAGATTGAGGTCGCGGCTTGGGTTTAGCATAAGAAAGGCTTAGGAGCGTTGCACAATAGTGCGCCCTTGCATTCAGGGTTTCAACGCCACCACTCTACCACTGGCGAATAGAGGGTACGACGCAATCAGTGCCCTTGATTTATTGAGGCAATATACATTAAGATACCAACATTAAAACTAGGGGAGACTCGGATTCCCAAGCTTTATTGCCAATGTCCTGCTGATAGACGGCTCGAGAAAATTCCCTGTCGTCGGACCTGAAAATAACTAAGAGATACAATCTCTATTATCTTATCATTGCAAAATCATTTTTATCCTGTTTTAGTCAAACTGACACGACGTCACATATTTTTTTCAACAATTACTCTTTCTAGCACACAATTACATAAATTAAGGAATTTGCACGATACTCGCATAACATCACGCGCCGATTTTGTTGAAAGCAAGAGAGTCGAGCGAAAAAGAAGATAAAAATAAAAAATGCATTACCCAAAATCTCTTGACTTCAACGAATCGTTTCACACAGCTCGACATTCTCCACCTTCTCTTGATTGCTCTTGGGTCGTTCATTGAGAAGTCACCAGCAGCGTCCCTCGCTGCTTGTTGACCCCCCCAAGAGGAGCTTCACCGGAAGAGCATGTCTAGGAAAGAGAATGGAGCACAAGGGAGAATGTCGAGCTTGTCGAATAGCGGCCTGCCAATTACGGAACAGAGATCTAACCGTAGTAACGTGTAGTGTTTCCGCCATTGTCTGCAGGTCCAAGTGGGGCGTATAGTCCGGATGCGACGATGGGTTACATGATGGACGGACAGGCGGCCAGCATGATGCACCGACCACCGGGTGATCCCACCTTCCACAACCAGTACCATTATCCCCCCGAGTACTACGGACATCACTTATAAAAGGTATATAGACAACAGCCACTTATTGACGAATTTTTTATAGATATTATTCATCCATCTATATATCTATACAATAGTAAATACCCTATTGAAATTCAAGTAAAAGAAAATTTTCACAATAACTAGAGAGCGCCTAGATAAGCATCAGTCGATAACACGGAACTCGAAGGTTTCCTTGCGTGTTCCAGCTGAATGCCGGCTAAGTGGAAGGACGACGAGGAGGTTCGTGCGACGGACGAAGTGGGATGAAACCTGAGAGCTCCGAGCTTAGGAAGCGGGAGCACCGAAGAGGACCTCGACGAGTATGGCGGCATTTGCGAGAAACGGAACGGAACGTCGAAACGACGAGGAATCCGTATCCCGTGTAACTTACCCGCCCGTGCTGCCGCTACTCTGCTGCTGGAGGAACCTTCAGTGTCAAGTGGTCTCCGTTTTGTGCCACTAGCTGTGCCACGAGAATAAGGAATGAATGTTGGACGACGTCACGAGCCACCTGATAGAGATAATGGGGGTTTATATCTGGGGAGGAATAGAGAGTCGGCGTGAACCGTCGTGGATGACGGTTAAACCAACCATAACCTACACTAGAAGTGCGGCCAAAGGATTAAGGAGGGTCGCGAGAAATTCATGTGATTGTTCTTTGTACAAAATATTGCGGTGTAATATTGTAGTGATTGAAATATAAATGTTAAATTTTAATACGATTGCAATGGAGAGACTATATAATGAATATATAGTAATATAGGCAATTAGCGGGCATGTACATTACACCGGTGCTCGCACGGAATGTCCACAAGCAAAGACCGATCGTATACTAAAAAAACAAATATGAGGAACGAAGAAGCAAGAGAAACCGGGGATTAGGAGCGGAGAACCGAGGTGAAGAAGGCAGCAGGAAGCCGAAAGCGTGCTATATTAAAAAAAAAAAAAAAAGAGAAATTAAGAAAGAAATGGAGAAACGATAGGGAGGGAACGATGGAACGGTGGAACGGTGTGTTTAAAGTTAAACTAAATAGAGGAATGTTCGACGCGTGTGCCGGACTCGAGCGTCGACATTCTCATAGGACATTCAATTTGTACAGTTCTTAAATATAAATAAAAGTAATTATATATATAAATAACACATCCCCCTTGTAATATAATACACGGAGAAAGAAAATGATAAGAGCCGCGCGTCGGTGTGAACAGGTCAAGTGAGAGTGCGGAGGGTCTTTTTTT